TCTTGAAAAAAGAAACTGGCAGTTATCCATAGTGACCACGTCACACCACAACTTGTCCTATAGCTGGCCCCAATTGAGAACTCTACTAAGCATCTCTGGTCGATGCTGATCCGATTCTCCTTTTTCAATCACTTCGTGAATACGGATGGGAATGCCTCTGAGTAGTGAGTCCCATTATTTCTACCATTTGTATTGATGTCACGTTTTTGCTGCTCCCACGATCGATGATGAGATTGCATGTCTTTCCATTCACTGTGCAGCAGGTGTGGAATATGATGTGACAAAGCCACCACGAATCCCTTGTGTCCTCATTCAGCAAAATTCGTCGAATTACATTCGCCTCCATCTGGGGGAAGCTTATATACCTCACCCTATTCCTCGGCTCGTTGCTAATCTCCTCTACGACATTCTTCTCTATGAGTGTGACTACCTGCTCGTGGGACAACTAGAGGTTGTGGTCGTAGCCGTGACATCTGTAACACTTTATGGTCAATACAGTATTGGAGGAGCAACATTTCTCATGTTTCTTCTTGCTCTGATCCAGAGTCATTCCCATGCCCGAGCTTGTTAGTGTCTCTTGGGGTACCCTTGTTGGTTGTGCTAACTGTAGGTGACTACCTGCCTGAAGGATGACGGTTGCCCGCTCTGCTTTTGTTGTCTCTCCACCTTCAGGGCTAGTGTTTGAACTTCTCCAAATGACGGATAAGGTTGCAGTTGTACTACATTGCTAATTACTAGCTTCAGACCCCCCCACCCGAAAACGCGCTATAGTATGCTCCTCGGGCTTGACCAGATCACACCTCATCTGCAACTGATCAAACTACTCTGTGAACTCTACTGACAGATCCCTCTGCTATATGTGGTGAAGCCTCATATATTGGTGATAACGGAAGGAGAAATATTTCTCCTGCATTGTTTTATTTATCTTCTCCGACATGGTAATCTTATCGTTGTCTTCAATTTTCCTCTGTTGTTGTAAGTTCTACCACAAAAAGGCACTTTTCTTCAACTTGATAGCGACTAATTTGACCCTCTTATCATCTGGCACATCCTTGTGCTCAAAGATCCATTCAATAGATTGCAGTGAATCAATGAAGTCATCGAGATCCATACCTCCGTCAAACTCTAGAAGATCTACTTTGATGTTGAAGTCTCTGTATCCTCCAAATGACATCTCTCGAAAATTCTCCCTCTGTGAGGAATTCAAATATCCATCTCTAGGCCTCCTCTGACATTGTATTATGAAACATTTGTTGAAGTCTCTGTATCCTCCAAATGACATCTCTCAAAAATTCTACCTCTGTGAGGAATTCAAATATCCATCTCTAGGTCTCCTCTGACATTGTATTATGAAACGTCGTGGTCTGTTTTCTTCATCGTTGAAAGTCTCCCCATGGAAGGGATTCATATCGTCATGTCTTTCTCCCCTTCGACTCTCCAGATCTCAGTCAAAGGTAACCTCTTCCAGTGTTAACTCTTCAATTTCTACAAGCCTTTATTGAAGACGACAGAGCTCTAGCCATATCTCTTCCAAGGTACGCTCGGGCATATTCCTCCTTGGTGGCATAGCTTGGGTTTGGATAATGGGAGAAAAATTGTTGGGTGGAGGTGAAAGAGGGCATATGGGATTGATTGCGGGTGCAGAATAACTATTTAGGTTTGCTAAAGTTAAAAATTAGCAAAGGGAATTTGGGATTTGAACTATGGTTAGGGAATAGAAAGGAAAATTTTGGTGGAGGAGAAGGCGAATGTAAGGAAACCCTAGGATATAACTAGGGTTAAGCTAGTGCTGATACCAAATGATAACGGAACTATTTCAGAAATCAGCGGAAACGCAAATCAAACTTTTATTAATATAGAAATAGGGCTACAACACGACACAATAGAAATGAAAAAACAGTAGTAGACCAATCTTCAGCTATGGATGAAAGAGTAGATCAAAGAGCGGGGGTGTCTTCACCAACATGGTGAGGTTATGCAAGAGGATTGGTGGTTGCGAGGTTGGTTAGGAAGGTTTGGGGTCCGATAGTGGCCACAGTGAAAAAGGGTTGTCAGGAATTGGTAGGTAAGTTGGAGGGCTGAGTAGTAATGGGGCGGCCTGAAATGGGGAGGGTTTGGTGGAGCGGATAGCAAGTAGAAATGCGGGAGAAGGGATTCGACAGGCTGGTAAGGGGTTTAGACAGTAGGTTAGGCTGTTAGAAAAGATCGGCGGAGGGTTGGGAGTAAATCTGGGGAGTTAGACAGCAACGTTAGGCAGTTCAAAAAGGGCTGCTAGGTGCTAGGATGAAGTATGAGCAGGCTGGCAGCGAGAGATAGGGGAAGAGAAGGGTTAAAATAAAAAAGGAAGATACAACACCATCTCGGAGTACGATACAACCGAAGCTCAACCACATCCTCGGATACAGACGTAAAACATGGAGAAGAGCTCCACAAAGGAATATGATATCAACACACAGCAAAACTAAATCCTAAATCACATAAAAGGAAGGTAGGAGTAACACCTCGAAGATCTTGTTTTCTCAACAATAAAAGGATATGTCCATTCAATAACATCTTGTGGGATGAGTGGAAGGAGTTGCTTCATTGAAAAGCTTCTACGACTATTCCCAAAGTCTGTCAACAACAAAATGAAAAAAAATTAATTTTTTTTAGGTTTTTATCCATTTCATCAACATGAGCAATGTTAACTGATAATCTCTCCCACAATTTTCAATTTTGCAACCGCTTCTCACACGAGTTCTTCAGGTCATCAAACGATCGTCACCTTTCCTCTTCATCTTTTGATCAGATTATCATTGCTACCAAACATCATGTGAGAGTGGTTCTGTTATTACAATAGAATAAGGGTGTGAGGAGAAGACATTTTCTCCCTACTCTTACTATGAACGTATCAATCATCCTTCAAAGCAATCTTGGATCAAATTTGACTATCCCCATGCTACTCAGCATGCTCGACAAACATCCATACCACTACACCAAGTTTTATCATGTCTTCTCAAGAGGAAAATGATCCTTTGATTCAAGCAATCAAAATTTTGTATATGCTTCCCATGTGTTTTCCTCTAGATTGGTCGGTGCTATTTGCTCAAGTATGTCTTATAATCAAGATTCACTCCTTATATGATAGACAACTACACATGTTCTACTCTCTCAACATGACCTCTCTTACTCCCATGATTGTGGTTGATAGGTCCCCATCCCCCATTGCTAGGAGAGCATGGTAACTTCATAGGCATCTCTCTCCCTCTCTCTTTATCCCCCTGATCTCATATATCCCATACTTTTTATAAATATATTATACTTGATAGGTCCCCATCCCCCATTGCTAGGAGAGCATAGTAACTTCATAGGCATCTCTCTCCCTCTCTCTCTATCCCCCCGATCTCATATATCCCATACCTTTTATAAATATATTATATGTTCATTGTCTTATTAGGTTCTATGAATGCTTTGGATGTTTTTATCTCTCTTAGTGTATTTCAGGATCTCACCTCAAAAAATATGATTGATAGAGATGTTTAAGCCATTTAGATTGCTACATGATAATTGATGTTCCTTTTGCCCTTTCTTCCACAATTACTTTATTTTACTGATACTAAATACTACGTCTTCTCTTACTAATAGCTCCTCTTATGTGTATTTATGCAAATATTCCACCACCTCACCTTTGGTTATCCTCATAATTGCCGATTTTACTCTACATTTTTTAAAAACTTTTAGCAACCTCTAATAAACCTATCTATATGCCCCACAAGTTTAATCAATAAAATAACATAATTATTACTTCTGAACAGCATATAGCATAGAAAAGTTGATTGCATCGAATGCCTATAACATTTTAATAGCCCTACATTTTTTTTAAAAAGTAAAGCAGCACCTATGTTTACGCATACACTAAGCATCACAAATGTAATGAAATAAAAATAGTAGCAAATACATGAGTGAGCCAAAACGTAGCTTTATAAGAGAATGACAAAATCAAGCAATCTAACAATAAAATTAAAAAACTGTCCCAAGAAGAACCCGCCTCTAAAATATGGGCATTCCCATTTGCCAATCCTTATAATACCCATTAGGGGACCATTATTACTTCATCTGCACCATTTCATAGTTTTTCAACCAGAATGGAAAAACACGATACCTTCTTATCTGTAAGAAAAAGTAAATAAAAGATCCCCTCTACAGTATTTGGATTCAGTGCTCCTAACTTATCTTAATAAACTAATTAGCTTATCCACCATCACAATAATATCCCGCTAGTTGAACTTGCTCCACTAAGTTTTGCATTGAAGGAATTTTAACTCCAGGTCCACTCTACCCCATGTTTTGAATCTTTCATCACCAAACGCTCATACAACAGAAAATATTTTAAAAAAAAGGAATTAGAATTCTTAAACGGACCCTGGTGACAAAATCTCAAAGAAATTTTCATGCATTCTATTAAAAAAAATTTATCAGAAGGGTCTCTGATTTAGTAAGGATCAATATTTTAGGCCCAAACTAATATGGCCCTCATTTTGATCCCTCAACTCTCAAAAAAGTGATTCCATTTAGTGCCACAGCTAAATATGTTGTGTCTGAATTGCATAATGAAGATATAACTATCTTTTTTTATTATTATTATTTTACTTTCAACTCAATGTAGCCCTAATATATTTGCCAGAAGATGCCAAAAAACACTTTTCAAAGGTCAAGAGACCAAAATGTGCTCAGTTTAAAGCAAATATTATTTTAAACATAAAATCATAGTGTTTCCGGACCATTCACACCTCTTGTTATTCAGGAACAGGTAAGCCATACTTTCCTCCCAATTACAAAGATGGAAGTTTGAAGCCAAACTAAACCCCATTTTCTACTTTGTAAGGCTAACTCAGTAAATAAGCTGCTTTAAAGCAAAGTAATTGCCCATAAAATAATAAAAATCTTAGGCTGTGTTTGGCTGCAGCTCAGATTTATGTTAAATAGGATTTATCTAATCCGATAAATTCGGATTAAATAAATGACCGGAGGACAAAGGAGCTCACGCGACAACGGAATAAATCCGTCTCACAATTGGATTTCCTAAATCCAGATTTACATCTAACATGTGATGGAGCAGGAGAAAAAACGACGGAATGCAAGGAAATTCAATTTAATGGGGTATTTTATTTATTTTTCATTTATTTGGCGTTTGGCTGGATTTAAGTTAAATCCATGGCTAAATTATATTATAAGTATGCTGCCAAACACCCCCTTACTGTGATCTTATCAGTAAATAATCTCCAACATATAAGAGAAATTGCATCTTGCATCATGCCAAAATCTTTTGAATTTCTTACTACCATATCTTCATACTATACCACCCATGTAAGATGTTATAAACTTTTAGAACTTTAATAATCAATCTTTCATTCATCCACTAATATACACATTCAAAACAATTTTCTATTTTTCAGAAAAATATCCACCTACGTGACACCTAAAATACAGCCAAATAAAAAGGGGCTGCATACGTACCAGCCAATTCTTATGTATTTACATATCTAATATCTATACTTTAATTTTTACATTTGTACCACTCAAAACTTTCATATCACATCGGAACCACCACCATTTTGAGTTTTAAAAAGTGAAATGCACCTTTTCATGCTTACGTGAGGTAAAGACGCACCATATTTTCATGCACCTTTTCATGCTTAGGCAAGCATTTATTTACAGGAATTGAGTGGCATTTATGTAGATTTTTTAAAAAAATTTCAATTGCAAAGCCCCAAGGACAGGTAAGATCTCTAGCAACTATGAGCTAGCATATAATCATCAACCCAGCTAAAATTGAACACATAGGAAAGATAAAATTTCTCTGGACAATCTTTTTAAACTTCTGCGCCCTTCAAACACTTTGAACAAATTCTATTAATTTTTTAATAAGTTCACAATATCAACATAAGCTGCATAAAAATTAAAAAAAAAAGAATGAATACCACATTTGGGAAGTATAGAAACCTTAGTTCCTTCATCACCAATTGGATTTCCGGATAAGTTGAGCGTTTTCAATAAAATATTTGTCTGAAGAATGCCATCAAATGCTTTCAATCCAGCAGCTGTTATCCCATTCCCAGAAAAATCCACATCCTCTACACTCTGGAATAAGGCAGCAGATATTTATGATTCCTCGTCTAGGCAGAAAATGCAAGAATCGGATAATTTATTTAGATAGAAGGCATTAATGTTGCAATTAACAAGACAAAAAAAAGTATAAGATGAGGACCAGAAAACAGAATATCACCTGATTGAAGGCTAAGCTTTCAGCAAGAAAGATTAGACCATCATCCCCAAAGTTATGACCTATGGAAAACCACAAGTTAACAAAAGCTGAAATTTCAACAGAATTAATGAATGAACAATGAAAAAAGCGCCCACAAAAAAAAAATTCAGACAATTATAAATATTAAAGGAGCCAAATGTAAACAATTTATGCCACAAAAACCAACATGTATGATTTATAAACTTTAATAATTTTGTGAACAAGTTCAAATGATCGTGAGACTTTAAGCAAACGTAGAACTAAATGACACTTAACAGAGCTTGGTAATTAGGGCTAAGAAATTGGCCTGAAGAACGTTAATCGATCGAAAATTGATTCGAATTTTAGCTTGAATCGAGATCAGATCCAATAGATCGAGCCAAGCTATGAGCCAAACTTTTGGATCAAATTATTTTTTATCTGTTTTCGAGCCTATAGGATAGGATCAACTAGGCAAACAGACTATCCGATGCCCGACCGTGCATCTGGACCATCCGATCCGGCGATTCACAAGCTTGGTGATAGCTAGGGTTGTAAACCCTATCTCAATTATTTCCCATCAGTTGTCACTCCCGAATCTCGCAGGCGCTATTCTCACTCAATCACTCCCTCCAGACTCTTGTTCCCATCCCGATCTCCCCTGCAAGCTGCGTCTCTGCGATCTCCCAAGTCTCACTAGCTCTACAGTCTCCCCTCTCCTCTGCCCTTTTCAAAATCTCTAACCCTAGGTAAACAACCACCACCCCGGCGTTCCGACAAGCTACAAGTGTTCGCTATTGTGGTTTGGCGTTTTCTCATTGCTCAATCGCTCTCCTCCAACCTCACATTCTCTTTTTAGTCTATTCAGTAACTTCCTTATCTTAATATCAAAATTTCTTCTAAGAATCTAAGATAGTTGATTACGGACCTATGATTCAGCGGTTTTCTTAATTTTTTTGTTTGCTCGGTTTCATATCAGATATCATTGTCTCTTGCATCTCTAATTTATTATGGTGCTGGTGTCTCATTGCTTGGTTGTAAGTTTCTCAGTGCTTGGTTCTGTTGGTTGAAGGTGGTGGGTTCAACTGTTGTGATTCTTGTGAATCTCATGATTTTGTTACTGAGTCAGTTTGACAATGGGATTGGCATTGGAGTCAAATATTCATGGCTTTTAATCTGTTAGAAACATGAGCAAAATGACTCATCCATAGGCATTATTGAATATTTGAATATCAAAGCAATCAGTTTTTTATTATTATTATTATTATTATTTTAATGATCTCCTCTTTCTACTGAGTAACAAGTGGTACTACACTGCTACTTGGCTTTAGCAAAAATTAAAAAAAAATGGCTGTGGTTTGAGCCGTTATTTTGTAAATGGCATTTGGTATTTGATCCTTAGCCCATGCCAAATTATTTCTTCGAAAGTACTTGGTGTTTTTGTTCTCTTTTTCGTTACAAACATTTAATGAAAAGAATTTTTCTTACCTCTGCAACTGTAACAGATGCTAAAGGATTGATATATGTTGGTGTTGAAAATTTAGATGCAGAAAATTTTTTGCTTCAATCTGCACCTAAATTATCTATAAGTTGAAGTAAGATTATCTATAGGTTGGGCACATTAAAGTCAACCCAGTTTTCTTGAATTTGTAACGTGACTATGTAAGTCACTTGAATGGCTTTTTTTGCTTGTGACTGACAAGCATAAACTACTATGCTTATACTTCTATTTTCTTTTGGTTGTCTAGGCAGTGAATGATGGTAAGTTGGGTTATTTTCTGTTTTTTCGATATATATAATTTGGTGGGTGAATTTTTATTTTCTGCCTTCTGGATTCCAATGTTGGGCAGTTGGGCTATTTTCTGTTTTCTTGGTTTCAATTTCCTTGCTGCTGAAACTATCATTGCTGAATGGTGAATGGTGATATTATGTTAAGATGCACTTGAGAATTGGAGTTGAGGACTTGGGGGTTAGCTATTTGGCTGGTTTTATATCCCTAACTGTTGCCTGTTAGCCCTTTTTTTTCTATTCTTTGATTCTCATGTTTGGTAAAATGGTTGGATGTTTTTTATGGAACAATGATGTTAGCCAGCTGTAGTGGCTCAACCAGCTGTTGGGAATCTTGATGTTTTTTAATTATGAGTGATATAATGAAATATTTTTATGGCGTTTAAGGGGGTGTTATCTAGAATCTGAAAATTGTAAATTTGTCTGTTGTAGCATATGTTTTAAACCTGTTTCATGTCACACCAACTTGTCAGATAATTTTGGATGAAGTTCACTGTGTCAGCCTGGGAATTTTCTGAGCTTTTTCTATTTAATTCTTGATATATTTTTGGAATATAAAAGATGTAATTTGAAGTTACAAATTCTTTTATGCGCGTGTTCAAGGGATTTTAGTTGTCATACTTGTAGATCTATAGATGGAATATTTTATTTTACCTTCCAATTGCGGTTTTCAGATAACTTGCATAATGCTAATTATGCTTTAGAAAGGTTTGATTTAACTTTATATACTTTATGGCTTCTAGTTTGGAAGCTTGGTGAATGGGGCTCAATCGATTCAAAAGATGTGTTTGCAAATGTGCATATCTGCAGTTAATTGTATTTAGATTGTTCCTCATCTTTTTTTAAGGGCTTTTACATACGTAACACATTATTCTTATTTAACACCTAAACATTCATATGTAGATGCATTCTTTTGGTGTTAGATAAGTAAATATATAAGAATTGTGTGATAAATATATAATATATATATATATTATATTAATGTGAAGGAAATGAGAATATGATTAGATAACTTTCTACTTATTTGCATGCATTCTTCTACCCTGCAACCTTCCTCTAAAGGATCCATAAACCCCTGAAGGCTTAAGTGCAAAAACTACAATCATTTTTATTGATCTTTAAAGGATAGGTTTCTTCCTATTTGAAGCAAATATGATGAGCTTATTATTATTATCTGATTTTTTTTAGTTATAGAAGTGAGCACTATTATTTGTTAGGAAATTTAGTACATAATATAGTTTAAATGTAGTCATCATGTTTTCTCCATGTTTTTTAAATGCAAGAATTATTTAAATGTAGTCATCATGTTTTCTCCAAATTTTTGAAATGCAAGTATTATTTACTCCTTATGAAAATTAAATATGAAAAGCAAAGGAATGTGTATGCCCAATCCTGATTTAATAATTTTGCAGCTTTGAATACTTCTACACATTTACATAAATAGAACTTTATTACTATTAGTTTTATTTTTTTGCAGCTTTGAAAAATTTTTTAGGATAGAAGTCATCAAGATTTAAGGATCATTTTATTTGGTGTTTATATGTAATTTTCATATTTGATCTTCTAATTGCCAACTATAATATTTAAATTTATAATATGTTATTTGTAAT